AAATCCCATCTTGGGGTGCCTGGTGGCTCAGTCAGTTAAGCGTCCTACTCTTGATTTGGCTCAGATCATGATCTCAGTTTTTGTGGGATCGAGCCCTGCATTGGGCTCCGTGCTGGGTGTGGAGCCTGCTTGAGATTTTCTCTCTCCCTCTTCCCTTATCCCCACTCTAAAAATAAATAAATAAAATACAGTCTGACAATCTTTGCCTTTTTTTGAGATTTTATTTATCTTAAATAGCACAAGCAAGGGAAGCGGCAGGGAGAGGGAGAAGCAGGCTCTCTGCTGATCAGGGAGCCCGTTGCGGGCTTGATTCCAGAACCCTGGGATCATGACCTGAGCCGAAGACCGACACCACCCAGGCGCCCCCAATCTTTGCCTTTTGACTGGAGTATTTAATCCCTCCACATTTAATGTTTTTAATCATATGGTTGGATTTCCATCTACCATTTTCTATTGTCAGTGTTTCTTGTGTTTTTTTTCCTCATAATCCTTTACTACTTTTTTACATTAAGTAAATATTTTTTAATGTTTCATTTTAATTCCTTTAATTTTCACATTACTTTTGTTCTTAGTGGTTGCTCAAAGGCTTACAATATACATCCAATTTTTTATAGTCTATTTTAGATTAATGCTCAATTTGTTACATTAAAAGACAGAAACTTTCTCCATTATTCTCCATTACTTCCCCCTTCTTTGTGCCATTGTCATATGTATTGCATCTTTGTGTCCAACAGTACAATTTGATAATTATGTTTTAGGTAATGGCCTTTTAAATCAGGAGAAAAAATATATTTATATTGTCCTTTAATGATTATATAATTACATTCATTGGTGCTTTTTTGTGAATTTGAGTTACCGTCTGGTGTTCCTTCCTTTCAGTCTGATGAACTTTTAGTATTTGGTTAACAGTGAATTATCTTGAGTCTTTATTTGGGTGTTCCTTTATTTTGCCTTCATTTTTGAACCCATTTTATAGATAGTAAGTTGTAGCAACTCTGAATTCTGATTTCCTCTATCCAGGGGATGGTTGTTGTTGATGTTGATTTATTTTCGTCACTTGCCTGAACCACATTTGTGGTGTTTCCCCTATAGTGTGTGGCCTCTAATGTTTGTGCTCTTCCCCGCCCCCGCCCACCCAACCCGTTCTTTGTGTATTCAGCTCTGGCTTTCTAGGGATTACCCTGGGTCACTATAACTTAGTCATCAGCCATTGATTGGCTAGAGGCTGTTTAAACCATTGAACCAGTAAGTCTTCCACTCTTTACATATACTTTCTTCCACTTCTACACATATATTAGATAATGCTCACAATTCAGGGAGTTTATAAATCTGATCATTCCCCCCCCCTGCCTTTTTTTAACTTACTGGGTTTACAAGGTCTCTTGGTTAACCATGAGTGAGTAGATTGTTAGTTCCCTCTCCTCTAAGTAAGCACAACCTGGCAAATGCATATAGCTTTCCAGTCTATCAGGGATATGTGAAATCATAGCAAGGTCGTCTTTGGCTGTTTTGTTCTCTTGATCTCTGATTAATTTTCTGGCCAGTCTGCTGTGTTGTTGCTTATACCAACAAATATTGTGACCTGAGGTTAGACTTCCCTTTTGCCTCTGATTTTTCTGTCATTTTTGACAACTTTGTCTAGTTTTGTCATTGCTTTTTGGAAAGAGGATTTGCCAACTTCCTAACTCAGAATTCTTAAAGTCCTGTCCTGTATTTTTATTTTGTAGTAAGAAGCATATAACATAAAATTTACCATTTTGAAGGATACACTAGTGTTAACTATATGCACATTGTTATTGAATAGAACTGTAGAACTTCTTCATCTTTCAAAAATTAAAACTCTATAACCATTTAACAACTTCCTTTTTCCTTCTCCCCCCACCACCAGTGCCTGGCAACCACCATTTTACTTTGTTTCTAAGAATTTGACTACTTTAGATACCTTATATATGTAGAATCATACAATGTTTGTCTTTTTGTGACTGGTTTATTTCACTTAGCATCATGTCTTTAACGTGTTTGTTCATGTTGTAGCACAAGACAGAATTTCCTCTTTTTAGAAGACTGGATATATTTGATTGTGTATACCACATCTTCTTTATCCATTTCTTTCAATGGACATTTAGGCTGCTTCCACCTCTTGACTATTGTGAATAATGCTGCGGTGAACATGGTTGTGCAAATATCTTTTTGAGATCTGTTTTCAGTTCTTTTTGGTATATACTCAGAACTGATTTCATATGGTGATTTTTTTTTTAAAAGATTTTGTCAGAGAGAGAGAGAGAGAGAGTGCGTGCATGTGCGCGCACAGGTGGGGGGGTGGAGCAGGCTCCCTGCTGAGTAAGGACTGGATACCCGGGACCCGGGACCCTGGGATCAGGACCTGAGTTGAAGGCAGACGTTTGTTTAACTGTCTGAGCCACTCAGGTGTCCCTTATACGGTGATTCTGTTGATGTTTTGAGGAACGTCCATAATGCTTTCTTTAGTGGCTGCATCATTTTACGTTTTCACCAACAGCACACAAGGGTTCCAATTTCTCCATAAAGCTGCCAGCCCTTGTTACCTTTTGTGTGATAGTGGCCATTCCATTAGCGTTGTGGTCATTGTGGTTTTGATTTGCATTTCCTTGATTAGTGATGTTAAACATCTTTTCATATACTTGCTGGCAATTTGTATTCTTTTGAGAAATGTCTATTCAGTGATTTATCCACTTTTAAATTGGATTACTTTTTGTTGTTTATTTTAGATTTTAACCCCTTTTCAGATAAATGGTTTGCAAATATTTTTTCCCATTACATAGGTTGCCTTTTCACTCTTTTGAATGTTTTCTTTGCTGCATGAAGGTTTTTAGGTTTGTCTATGCTTGCTTTTGTTACTTGTTAAATTTAGTTTTAAAGTATGCCTGTTTTCTGTTAGAATATTTTGTTATAGCCTACCTAGAATTAGGTTTTTGAGAGCTATTTAACCCCCTTCTTAAATTCCTTGTTACTGATATTCTTTGTGCAGTCATAGATGTTCTGGTATTAGGAATGCATTTTTCACAATGCATTTCTGAATAGTTAGAAGTGAATAAAGTATTTTAAGGTTGTACAGTGTATCTTGAAGTAAAAGGAATGAAAATTGCTTTTATAGTTACATTCAGGATGGTCTGTCTACTATAACAACATTTGTGTTTTGTCTTTTACAAGGCATAAATGTATTTTCATTTTTCACAACTCTGAGGAAATGGAAATGATCTTGCTTATAGTCAGATGATTAGTAAATGTTGAACTTCAAGTAGATTTCAATATGGGCGATATGGTTCAAAATTCCATGTTCAAATATAGAATGCTGCCTCTTGGGTTATTGTTTAGGTAGTAGTAAAGTTGATTAGAAGCATTCTGGTAATACCGAGGTCATGAGTTTGATTCACGTGCTTTTAACTTCTTCCTGCGAAAATCCAATTTGTACCCATGCAACTTTGGTAGGCATTTCACAAATGTTTCTTTGTTACACAAGTCAGGAAGTGGTAGAGATGGCAATATCATGGGCTCATTGTCCAAATAGATGTATAACCAATGGAAAGGTATTAAATGCTCATAATGGAAGTATAGATGCAGTATAGCTATGTGAAGAGCAAGGGTTCTGGCATGATATTTTCCAGTTTTGAGTCCTCGTTTTCTAAGATGTGTCATTTTGGGAAATGACTTGACCTTTCCGTGCCTCAGATTTTTCATTTGTAAATTGAGTAGAATAATAGTATTTACATTTTGGGCCTCTTATAAGGATTAAATAATTGTATGCAGGTTAAGTGCCTGGTACATAGTAAGTGCTCAGTAAACATTGTTTTTGTTATAGATGCTAATGAAAATATAATCTGTGCCAATTGATTTATGCTTCAAATTAATCTTTCAAATTACTAATGGCAAATACTTAAAATGTGACACTCCATTAGAATAATATAGTAGAAATAGATTTTAAGTATTCTGTCCTTGCAGGAGAAAAACTTGTGAAGACATACATGAGGCCCACACATTTGTAAGCGTAGTTAGCATTTTTATAACAGTTGTTCTTAGAGGAAGATAATATTCTAAGCACTTTATATAAATTCATTTAATCCTCAATGATACTATTGTTATCCAGATTTTTACAGATAGACTGAGACTCATACATTAAACAAGTTGTCCAGTGGTTTGCCATATTGCCGATACTTAGCTATATTGCTATGTTGCTAACCTAAGTAGGTGGGCAGTTGTTGGATCAATAAGTTTAATGTATATTAACTTTCACAAATAGATAACTTAAAATGTGAAGTATAATCTACATGCAATTTTTTCCTTTGTTGATTTGTAACAAAAATTTTGTCTGTCAGTGAAACAAGTTACCAATATAAAGTGACCATGGTGACATTTATGTTTTCATTTCTTTCTTTCTAATAATAATGGAAATCAGTCAGAAAACATTTAAATTTTATGACCAGAGATTATCCAGGTACAATCTTTAATTAGGTAAAGCTCAATACTTTTTTTATTTTTCAAGGTTGGTAAATTTTTATTTTGTTGGGTCACTCTCCTATCTCTTAACTCTGCTCTCCCCCATACCCTTTTAACTTGCCTTACAATCCTGTTCTGTTAGTTTAAAACACATTTTAAATACACGTTTTGAATGGAGATTTTAAACAATATGCCATTCAGTTATCTCAGTGCTGCTGTCTACTATGATTATTACAACCACTATCATATATGAACCTTTGTTATGTACCACATATTTTGTATTATATTCATTCAACAGAAGAAGAAATGGAGGCCTAGGCAGGTTGACTAGCTTATTAAAAGTAACTTGTACAGTAAGTTTTTGTGGTGTATCATTACCTATAGTTTAACAAGTTATTTGCTACTTTTTGAGGAACAGTAGTTCTTAAAATATTTTTGTTTTAGAAATTTCATTTCTCTTTTCGGAAAGTAATTTGGATGTTATGAAAAAATTAAGCACTTACCAACTTTTAATATTTTGTTTTAAGGAATTGAAATTACCATTCACTTTTTTAAGTGGACATATTCATGAATTGAGGATCCATGTACCATGGACAAAACTGGGTTCAGAACCAGTGGTAATTACCATCAATACAATGGAATGCATTTTGAAACTTAAAGATGGAATACAGGTAAGAAGTTATTGAACCTAGTTGTTTATATAAACCTATTTTAATAGTTATTGATGTTGTTTCTTTAACTTTTGGGATATGTCACCTTTTACACAAAGTTTACATACACTTAACTGTTTCTCACATGCCTATTAAAGTACCGTAATTGCAAAATGGTATTCTTATATTTGGATGAAACATTCTAATGGTTATTTTCATACTAATTTTACTTAATCTAATCATAGCCATCATAGTGATCATGTTGATGGCTTATTATCTGTGTCTACTAGAAGTAGGACCTGACTGTGTCCCAATTTTCAGGTGAAGGTTTTTGAATTTTTGCAAATGACCTGTATGATTTTTTTATATTTACGTGACATTTTTAAATGAGATGAAAATTTCTCATTTTTTGAAATGAAAATATATTGAATTTACTTTCATATCAAATTTTAAGGTTTTATTTTAATTCGAGGTAACATATGGTATTATAGTAATCTCAGGTGTAGGATATAGTAATTTAACACTTCTAAACCGGGTACTCATCACAAGTGCACTCCTTAATCCCCATCACCTATTTCACCCATCCCCACACCCACCTCCCCTCTGGTAACCATCAGTTTGTTCTCTATAGTTAAGAATTTGTTTCTTGGTTTGCCCCCTTTTTTCCTCTCTGCTAGTTTGAATGGATAAAGAAGCTGTGGTGTATATATACACAATGGAATATTACTCAGCCATAAAAAAAGAATGAAATCTTGCCATTTCCAATGACGTGGGTAGAGCTAGAGAGTATTATGCTAAGCAAAATAAGTCAGAGAAAGACAAATACCATACGATTTCACTCATATGTGGAGTTTAAGAAACCTATCAAATTCCATTGTGTTTTTGAAGTTTTGGCATCAGAAGCTGATTTTTTTTTTTTTCCGACTTAACCTTTTCTCTGACCATCTTACATTTCTCTTTAGTGTTTTTTTTTTCTTTTTTGTAAAGTTGTAATACTGATTTTTTTTTTTAAAGGAGTTTCTAGCAAAAATTAATTTAGGAAGCAAATAGATCTGAGCAATATATCATAAATTTTTCCATTTTCATCTTATAGAAAAGTAGTGTCTCTTTCATTTTTATTACGTTTTCCTTAGCCCATATTTAACTTGCAGTTTAAAAAATGCTTTCTAGAACCAAATGAGTTGATGAGTATTAATAATTTAAATTTAACAATTTAATAACTTATTAAACGTTAAGGCAATTTTAGCGTGTCCTAAATATAACGTCAGTTGGTGAAATTAAGATTATTTATGATGTTAAAATAATTTCCTTTTTTAAGAAGATACATTGTCATGTCACCCCACTGGGTGACATCTTTTTTTTTCCTTTTATGAAATCTTTGATTCTAAACCTATATTATCTAATTTAACTGATGTAGTTTCTGGAAGTAAGTAGACCAATGCTATATTTCTATGAGAATTTATTTTGTAAACATAAAATACGTGGGAGATAGATTTAGAAATCTGTGAGATAGTTATATTACAATAGAGTTTTATTTTACATTTATTTTAGGTAATACTTAAATGGTCTTAATCATCATCTGTTCCTGGAATTTAATTTTTTTTTTAAAAGTCTGGACTTGGTTATACCACCCATGGAGTGCTCCATATTAAAAGAGGAAAAAAAAAATCCAGACACTAAGTATTTTTTCAATGGGAAGGTGGAAGTTTCAAGGCCAGATGTCCCATAAGAAACACATTTTAAAAGAGGCAAATTACAACTAATTATAGAGGCTGCAGAAAAAGATTTGTAACACATGACTTAGTGGAACCTAGAACTAATAGTTGATATTGGACCATGCAGATGGCTACTGCAGGAATGATCAGGTTTCCTGCTTGCATGGTATTTGAGACTTGAATTTTGTGGTGTGTACAGCAAAAGGTCAAGTGTCATGAATGTAAACTACTCTCAAAACAAGTATTTTTTGCAGATGTTTAAAATTTTGAGGTAGAAAAGATTTTTGAAAATTGCAGTTGACATTTGGACAAATTATTCAGCAGTGTCCATCCCTGGAGAGTAATACTTAGGTTAATGATTGGAATTAATTTTTCAGTCAGACATTATAGATGAAACACATTTTTAAACAGTTTATTTTCCTATTTTAAGCTTTGATTAGTGTAGTAGGAAATTAAGTTAAAAAGTTACACATGTATTAGTAAAATTGAATAAGCCCATATTTAATTAAAATTATTTCAAATTATTACATTGTAGAATCAACATGAAGAAAATACTTATTTCATAAATTAGTGTGGGATGGTTGGTTAAAGGAAGGGATTGTTTAGAGTTATAGATATGAATCTGTTAAAAATAACTACTGTTGATATTTGACAGTGTAATAAATACAACTTAAAAAGTTAGAAATTTGAGGTCTAATTCAGAAAAGGTTATTACAAAAATATAATATTGCTAAATGCCTTGATAAGAAGGCATGTCTGGTTTGTAAAGTTCAATTTAATTCTACCAACATTGTTGATTTCCTGCTCTTCAGTGCACTGAACACCATTGCCAAGATATTTATATAATCTTCTAAGGAGACTTAGATTTATGATGATTGAGGGTGACTCTAGTGATAATAATTACAATATACGGCCTTAGCATGTCTCTGTAACTAGTCTTTTTTTTTTTTTTAAAGACTTATTTATTTTAGCGAGTTCATGTGCATGAGCTCTGGGGGGAGAGGGAGAGGGAGAGAATCTCAAGCAGACTCCCTGCTGAGTGTGGATATCCATTTTTCCACCCTGAGATCATGACTTGAGCTGAAACCAAGAGTATGTAGCTCAACCAACCAAGCCACCCAGGTGCCTCTGTAATTAGATTTATTGAACTTTTTTCCGATGAGAAGGTGACCTAAGTTGTTGTGTTGGGTCAAATAAAGGCCACCTTGATGTTCAGACTGAATTATTTTTAATACATTGATATTTCACTCAGAAAATACTTAACTATTAGCTGTTTACTCTGGGACACCTGTCTGCCATCATACCCACCTTTAGATCCTTCAGATTTTACTTCTGAGGTTTTTTGTTTGTTTGTTTTTGTTTTTTTGACTTAAATTACAGAATTTGATTCATGACACATCATCAGTGGTCCAGGTCTGACTTATTTATTTAAATAGTTCACTCTAATAAATACATGTGGATCCAGCACATAGCTCAGTAACTTACATTTAACTGTATGCTCCTCTCCTTTTGCATATTCTTGCTTTTCAACCTTTATGGGCCTCATCTGTAAAATAGGGCAAGACTTGATACATAGTTCTTATTCTATGGTTGTATATGCTTTCTTTGCTCATTGTATTAATAAGTCTTGCAAAAAATCTTCAACCTAGAGTAGTAGTAAATTTGTTTTTAAAGAACTATTTATTTGGGCCTTTGTATCACCTAGAAAGCTTAAAAAACAACAAAAACAACCCCCCCCCCAAAAAAAACCTGTGAAATCTTTTGACTTGTTAAATGTGACTGTTTGCAAGGCTATTTATAGAATACTCACTGTTCATAACCCAAAAATCTTTTGGGTTTTCATAAATCAAAACTTTAAAATTATCAGTAAAAACTGGGGATAAACAAACAGCTTTTGGTTAACGTATGTATGTACTTTTAATCCCTGGTTAGTGCTTGGAGTTACAGGACAATTTTGCTGTCCTTTCTCCTTGCATGTTTTTTGGTGCTGTAGAAATCCATTATTTGTTTAGGTGGTCTTGAAGAGGGAAGTATCCTATCTTGTCCTTGAAGCTTGAGCACCATGCTGGAGGAAGTTTTGGTAAGGCTATTAACAATATTTATATGGACTTTTTAAAAAAACACTTTAGGGCGCCTGGGTGGCTCAGTTGGTTAAGCAACTGCCTTCGGCTCAGGTCATGATCCCAGGGTCCTGGGATCGAGTCCCACATCGGGCTCCCGGCTCAGCAGGAAGCCTGCTTCTCCCTCTCCCACTCCCCCTGCTTGTGTTCCTGCTCTCGCTGTCTCTGTCTCTGTCAAATAAATAAATACA